TCCCAAGTTATAACTACACAAGTGAAACAAGTTCAAGAATTCAAATATTTTAGAAGCTTAATCACATCACACTGCTAAACGGACAAAGAATTTGAAACTCGAACAACATACCAACTGGTACCCCTCCTCTCAAACCAAACGTCCCACTCAAAGACAAAGACACAACTCTTCAGATCAATTATTCATACCAACTCTTGGCTCAAGTGTCAAACCTGGATTTATTTATTTATTTTTTTTTAAAAGCACAGATAGGCAAGATTAGAGCTTGTGACGTCAAATGTTTCGAAAAGACGCCAAAAGTCACATAAAAAAGACAAATAAGGAAAACGAAGACATCAGACAAGAAGGCCTTAAATGAAAGACGCCTCATCATTCTTGTGAGCTCTTCAGTTATTTAATTTTCATATTTTTACACCTTTGAAAATATATGTGAATGTTCATTGTTGGGTGTAAAAGAATTAAGATGGAAGTGAATTTTTTTTTTATATTTCAAAAATACAAAATAAATCAAATGTACTTTGTGCACTTTGAGTTTGATACCTGGCATTGTATCAATCTTGTGAGCTCTTCGGTTTCACGATAGGTACATTTTAATTTTAATTTTGATATCTTTACTCTTTTGAAAATATGTGCGAATGTTCTTTTACTTGAGTAAAAGAAAAAAGATGAAAATAGATTTTTATAAAGAAATATTATTTCGAATTACTAATGCAATCTTTACATTGCCGTGCAATTATATAAATTATACGATCGTTAAAACGTGCAGCGCAATCTTAAGATTGCCCCCAACGGTAAATGGAACATATTATGTATAATTTTATATTATATATATATATGTATATATATATTTTTATATATTACATGTTATATAAATAATATACATTATATATTATGAATATATATATTATAATATATATATATATATATATATATATATATATATATATATATATATATATATATATATATATGTATATATATATATGTATATAATATATGTGTGTGTCTGTATGGTGTTAAGCCAAAAAACAAAAATTCGATAAAAATTCACAAACCTGCGGAAAAATGCAAGTTTCCTCATTTTGATTATTTTGACGAGAGCCTGATTCCACCATGCTGCCTCACATATATTTACACTGTTTCTGTTGTGTTTCAGTTCTCTAAGAATCGATGGTCTAGACTGACAGGGTCGATACAGCCCGTCTCCTGCTAAATGATCTAAACTGTGTCGATAGGAACCAATTACGTACAATCATACCAGTTGGGCGTCCTCATATTCTTTCTTACTATTTAATCTAATGCTGCTAAATTTTGATATTCATTTTGCTCTGGTGTGTTTTTCTTCTTAGTTCTCGTCTCTGAGAAGTTCATATTCAGAAGTTGAAAAATATTTGGTAACTTGATATCTTGAAAATAAATATTCAATCGTTCGTTTTCAGCATCGTTTGAGCGCCTGAAATCGTACACATAGTACGTATACTTGGATGCATCAAAAGGAATTCTGCGGTATTTTTTTGCTGAAATTCTGCTTTAAAATACACAATGTAAGGTATTATTTCCGAACTTTGCGTAACGCATTAGCGTGGGGGTTTGAGTTTGTTTTCGTTAGGGAATTTCTTTTCAAGAGTTTGATTTAGTAGTGTGATACCGTGAAAACGAAAGATTGGATTCCAATGTACTTTACTGTAGGAGTATAAAATCCATTTAAAGACACCTTCTTAAGACCAGATTTCTGTTCCAGAGCATCAAACGAGGCCCGCTCAGGTGCCGATTCTTGAAATCTGTGTGAGGTAAATGCAATGAAGAAGTGTGGAAAGAGTGAACTGCTGTGGGAATGAAGAGAGCAGGAAGGTGGGAGAGCAGCAAAGGTGTGGCTTTTTTTAGACGGACGAGAAGCGAGATTGACAGAAGAAAGAACCAGAGGGCCTGAAGCAGATAGAACGAAGAACAGAAAAACGGTCCGCTGCTGAAACTGCTACCGGGTACGAAGAAAAGTAAAAAGTCTTGAGGAGTTGGTGTGCCAGAGTATAAGAAGAAAAAAAAACCGGGTAAGGAAGGGGGAGGGGGGGCTCAATTGAAAGCAAGAAGAAAGGTTGTGAGAGCGGAGTAGTGATGAAGAGTTGGAACTTGGGTGGGATATCGGGAGTCGGGGTTTGGGGGGACCGTACATAGCACATGAGGAAAAAAGCGGGGCAGAGGGATGGGCCTACATTGTGCTTAAATTGAGCGAGGAGAGAGAGAGAGAGAGAGAGAGAGAGAGAGAGAGAGAGAGGTCGGGCACGTGGAGCGGTTTCTGGAAGAGAGAAACGGTAACGGGGAAAGGAGTGGGTGTGTGTTTGGGGAAAGGGGGGTGGGAGGAAAGACGTGAGGGTTATGAAGGGAAAATTTGGAATGAGAATTCCTTGAGCATGACTCACAGACAGCTAGACATGAAAGCGGAAGCGAGTGGTTCATTGCCTGGGGATCCGGACGTGGGCCTGGACTTTGGAGAAACGATATTATTTTTTTTTAGGGGGGGGGGGATTAACCCTTTGTTACGCCTGCAGATTTATAATGCTTATCCTCCTGATGTTACTGATAATAATATTGTTGCCGCTGTTTCACGCTGTTGCTCTGGCCTTGCTCCCCTTACTTCAATAATTCCTGCTACTACTGCTGCTGCTATTGCTGCTACTGTTGATGCAATCACAATAACTGTAGCTTTGGTTGCGGTAACAACTACCATTGCTGCCATCATTTGTGGTTGTTATTACAGTAGCGGTGTCTTTTTATAGTATTACGGCACTTAAGCATCTACTGTTTCTTCTGCCAATCGAACTATTGTATGTAGGCCTATTGTAATTATGGTTGCCGTAACTCAAGACTGATAATAATAATGATGATGATGATGATGATGATGATGATGATGATGATGATGATGATGATGATAATAATAATAATAATAATAATAATAATAATAATATTGATAATAATAATAATAATGATAATGATAATGATAATAAAAAATAATCATATAATAATAATAATAACAACAATAATATCATTTTTGCATGGCGTAAATTCCCGCTGAACTGCAAGCTCTATGCACTTTACATTCTATACTATTACCCCAAGCAGACCTGATGAAATTCTGACAATCTCAACTTCCTACATGTGCAGGTGGCTGGAAGGTTCCTCCAGCAATCAATATGGTTATTTTTGTACCGGTATTTTGAGTTTTTGCTAAATCTCACTGTTACTGCGTTTGTGTTCCTGTCTCAAAATGAATAATTGGCCTTTGACTTTAAGTGCATACAGTATGAGAAGAGAAAAATCTAACAATCTAAATAGTAATGCCTCTACACGTTGGGGGGCGTTTGGGGGCGGAGAGGGGGTGCTATGTCACAGTCAGATTTCATCCTCCTTCTCTTCACATGTATGTCTGTTGTCTTTATTTTCCATCTCAGCACGCTGTGCAGGTGACGAGCAGCTATACGAGGATGGCTAAAAATGTAATGGAAAGCGTGAAGTATCTCAAACACCGGTAATGCTATGGACCTGAAATTTTCAAAGTCCCTTGAAATATTCAGGATTTCAGCCTCAAAGCCACTTTTGAAAGGGACAGCGGTAGTCAGCTTTCGGTGAGCTTAGCAGCTCTGAATATACAGCTCTTGCTGAGTTCTTTACGCATTCAAACTTTCGTCTGCAAGCCTGTATTTTGGAAAAGGAAACAACCAGGTGTCAATAGTGGGCTGATTTAGGCCAGCAGTCCCGTTACCCACTGCAAATTTTAGTAGAAAGGAACCACTTGGCATGTAAGTATCTTACACCATATCATTGGAAAACAGAAACAGACACACGGTCCACATGCATATTCAGGCCCTCTTTTGCATAAATTAAAAATGGCCGGCACTGACAATGAAAATGAAAACTGGCTATAACTTTTGACAGACAAAACGGTAGAACATTAATTTTGTGTTGTTTCATATAAATTTATGGCTGACAAACTCAATGACACCATCAAAGTTATAATAAAAGGTCAAATTCACTCCTAATTTGCATAAATTAAAAATGGCCGCCTTTTAAATTGTAGGAAAATGAGGACTGAACATAACTTTTGACTGAAAACTGGTAAAATATAAATTTGGAGTTATTTCATTGTAATTTATGGCTGACAAACTCAATGACACCAACACAATTATCACAAAAGGTCAAATTCACTCTTAACCTGCATAAATGAAAAATGACCGCCATTGATGAATAATGAAAATACGAACCGAATATAACATTTGACAAAAGAATGATAGAAATATTAATGCGTTCTTGTTTCATAGTAAGGTCTGGCTGACAAACTCAAAGACACCCAAAGAATTATCATAAAAGGTCAAATTGATTCCTAATTTGCATACATTAAAAATGGCCGCTTTGAAAAATTTAAACAAATTTTGGGAATTGAGATGCCAGGACTACACATGTGGTTTTCTTTTTGTAATTTAAAATCCCTTTAGCATGCCAGGTTCACCCATATCTTGCCTATTCTTTCATTAACCAATGCTTTATGTTCACTGATATGTAGGCCTACACATTATTTTCCTAGGTTGAAACAAGCTCCCCTGCATGCACAGAGAGTACTGCATTTCACACCAGCTTTGCAACATTTGCATTGCGGCTTGCACACTTTCTTGCACTGACATGTCACCTCTCCAATAACTTCTGAACTATTCAAGATATCTTCAAAAAATTTGTACACAATTGATTGACTTTCAATATGTATACTCACAACCCCACCCCCAAAAAAAACCCCAAAAAACAAGCAAACCAGAATTATGATACGATGTCAAACCTTTATACTATTGCTGTTTACATCATATAAGCTAGAGTACATTGTCGCCGAGAAAATGGAGTCCAGCAAACCTATGAATGTGCGCTTAAAGCAAAGAGCTGTCATTGAGTTCTTTACTGCAGAGTAAGCTGCACCCATCGATATTCATAAGGCGAAAGAAGCTTGTCTATGGTGGAGCATGTGTAAAGGTAAAGGTACTGTTCGAAGATGGGCAAAGAAGTTCGCTGAAACCAGTCCAGCAGAGACAGATTTGCATAACCAAGCTCAATGTGGTCGTCCCAACTCTGCCAGTGATGTTCAACTCCAGGAGAGAGTGGATGAGATCATCCAAGCAAACCGACGGACCAAAGTAAGAGATATCAGTGAAATGCTAGGGATTTCTGTAGGGAGTGCTCAGTGCATTATCCATTATGTGTTGGGTTACAGGAAAGTGTGTTCACGGTGGGTTCCACACATGTCACCCGAGCTGAAATTGAACCGAAGTCAAGTTAGTGATGAACTCCTGGCTCGTTATATCAATGAAGGTGAAGCTTTCTTACGCCGTATAGTCACAGGAGACGAGACCCAGAGAACAAAATACAATAGAAAGAATACAGGTACACTGGCTTACCTAGCCCCAAAAAGTTCAAAGTTGTTTCATTTGCAAAGAAAGTGCCTATGACAGTGTTTTGGGACTGCAATGGTCTGATTCATAAGGATTTTTTTAGAACAGGGTTCCACTATCAACTCCGAACGATATATTGAGACCCTGAGAAAACTTAGAGCACGTCTGTCACGACTTCGGCTCTGGAAAAAAATGCAATTTTGGACCACGACAATGCCCTTCCACACACGAGTCGACAAACTCAAGATGCCATGAAAAGTCTCAGATTTCAAGAGACCTTACCGCACCCATCATACAGTCCAGAACTTGGTCCAACTGACTTTCCTAAGTTGAAGAAGTACCTCAAAGGAAAATGTTATGCCGATGACGATGAAGTTCAAGCTGATGTGCGTTGCTGGTTCAGAGGTAAACTACATGAATTTTTCGCCAAAGGCATGCGACAACTTTTTCGGATCTGCATCGACAAAGAAGGCGACTATGTTGAAAAGTAAAGGTACTGTCATGTAGCAGACACCCTAAGCTTTCATTTGGTGTATAACTTTTGGATGTAGCATTAGTAATAAAGAAATTATGAACTTGGAGGCAAAACTTTTTGAACGACACGTGTAGTTAACATAGGCATGTACATGAGCACGCTATTTAATGAGTTTTCATACGTCACTGGCATTGAGCTTACTTGATTGCGTCATCATCGATACCGCTAATAAAACCTAACACAAATGTCCGTCATGGGACCAGGCCAATTGCTAACGATTGATCGAGGAATTAAGACCGACTCTGAGCCAGCATCACCTGGCTTGTCTTAACTCCTCCGACCAACCACACAGCGGTGCCTGGCTTCACGTACTCCCTTCTCCTTCCGTCGGTTGTCTCCTCGACAATGATAGCCTCCGTATTGAAGTGGCAATGAGACTCGGCCTCAAAGTGTGCGAGCCTGACACATGCCGTTGTGGATCATCAGTCGATAGCTTCGGCCTACTCCCACTTTCCTGTTGTCGGAGTGGTGGTCGTCTCTCCCGACACGCCGCCATCAACGACATCGTGAAGCGTGCGCTCGGTGCATCCGGCCTACATTGCATCCTTGAAACCTCCGGCCTCGACCGGGACGACGGCAAAAGGCGGATGGTAACAACACTAAAAACAACTTACAAAAAGCTAACTTGGCTATTCTTGTAGGTAAAGAGGTAATACAAAGTATAAATATGGAGGAAAGGCGATTCATTGTAGATATTTTTCACAGACAATCCAGTTGGAGAAAATTGTGGAAGAAACAACAAGGGGAAGAATTAGGATAGAAGATGGTGATGATGATGATGATGATGATGATGATGATGATGATGATGATGATGATGATGATGATGATGATGATGATGATGATGAGGATGATGATGATGATGATGAGGATGGTGATGATGATGATGAGGATGGTGATGATGATGATGATGATGATGATAATGGTGATGATGATGATGATGATGGTTGTGATGGTGATTGTGATGATGATGATGATGATGGTGATGATGATGATGA